ATGTTCCGCTAACCTGCTCTCCAAAAATCTCACATCCGAGAACGCTCCTCCGCGCGCCGCGCACGTGAGTTCGCACTCCGGCCGCCTCGCCGCAACCGCTACCCCTTCGCAGTTATGCACCGCTTAGCGCAGTCTCCGATGATGAAGACACATGCCGGCATAAAGGCAATAATACGGGGAATGGAGGAGGAAATCTCCTTTCTTCCGCGCAACAGCTGCAAGACGACCCAGCAAGCTGACGCGCCCGTGTGCGCGAGTAGCACTCCGAACGGCCCGATGAAGAATTCCCGCTGCTAAATAATCGGCAACTCAGCCTGTCAGCCCAACACGCCAAGGCGCGAGTGGCAAACCGACTGACGCACTGAAGAATCTCAGCTGCTATGAGACCCGCGCCAGCTGAAGGTGCCACCACATTAAACATGCATCAAAAATAAAACACATCAAAAACCGTCATCCGAGGGATCGGCCCCCACGCGGCGTCTCCTGTCAAGGACCCGCTGCCCAAGCCCTTCGGCCCAAGCGCGGGAGAAGAATCCGAAGAGCGCAAGGCCTCGGATGAGGTCGACCCCGATCCGCTCAACAGCGGGGTCGGGTCCGAGCTCAGACACCCCTCCTAGAGGATCAGGAGCGACTTGCTCCGGAGTGCATGAGGTGTATGGATACGGGTTTGGGGGGCCTCCTGGACGCATGCCGCGGCCTTCGTGCATTCGTGAGGATCTCTTGGGGCCGCTCTGGCTCCTGGACTGCGTGGGGGATTTCTTCGGCCCGTCTCGGAAGCCTCTTGGCCAATCGCGGCGCCCTTTTGGCTCTTGGGCCAGCTTGTATCCCTCTGGGTCGTCTTAGGAGTCTCTTGGGGCGGTTTTGGAAACGCCTTGGGCTGGCTCACATTGGGCAATATGCGGGCCCTGTTGGGTTGTCTTGAACACGAAGGCACTCCTGGGCATCTTGGGGTCCCGCTAATGAACTGTTTTGGAGTATTGTTGTGCCGTCTTTGGTCCCTCTTTGGACTCTGTTGAACCTTTCTGGGGGTCTGGAGCCGTGGTCGGCGCGCTCAATACTGAAAAGGCACAACATCAGAAACAGCCTGATAACATTGAGAATCAACTGAATGTTTCTCTCGGGGGCCTCTTGAGCGCACACCTGAGGGCCTCACGGAGCTTGTGGGGAGCCTCCTCGACGTTATGGAAGCCATTTGAGCCATCTGACCGGAAACCTCCCAGACGGTTGCGGGAGCGCCACCCCGAGCCCTGGGGCCCTCCCAGAGAGCGCCAGGGCCCCCCCGCAGAGCCAGGTAACCCGTGGAGGCTAAGGACACCTGGGCTGAAGCCCAGGGCCACGTCCCCAGGGACGGTTCGAGCGATCCCGGAGTGCCGTCGGCGAGGCGCGGCCCATGGAAAGCACATTGGGTCCGAAGAACCTGCAGGAATCGAAGAGATGGTCCAGGGCAGCTCAAGATGACTTCCCCAGAGTCTGGCGTGGGAAGGTGCCGACCCTCCGTGGACTGGAGAGCCCCCCGCAATGGGGAGGGGGGGCTCGGACAAAACTCGAGGAAGGTCTGGGAGGGGGGGGGAGGCGCCAGTTCTTCTGTGGGGGAGGATCCGAACAAAAAAAACTGTGGTGCAAATATGTGAGCGATTTTTGATTCGGCGTTTCGACATTGGGCGGGAGGGGGGGGGAGAGGGGGGGGTTCTGGCTCCGGACCTCTGCTTCATGCGACTCTTTGCGGCAGTGCGACCTATGGAGGAGGCTGCATACACCCTGCGAAATGCTTAAGAAATCATGGGTTAAGAAATTCATCGTCTCAGAATTCGATACAAAGACAGGAATTCTATTCAAATTTTAGGATTAACATTGAAACATTAAGAATAATCGAGACTCTGGCCGAAAACGTAAGTTTTCTTAAGCATCACCTAGGGTGTATGCCTGAAACAGGTGTCAAAAAACAACCAAAATCCACTCCACGGGGGGGGGGGATGGGGGGGGCGGGCGAGGGCCCGTGCCGATCGGCAACACAATGAATCAAAAAAAAACAGTCACTGTTGCTGGGGTGCTTTTCCAGAACGGCGCTTCGAACAAGCCTGTTATGATCGGCACGGGGCTGGCAGCTGTAAATGCCCCTCCCTGTCTCCTCCTACGCTTCCTTGCTCCAAACAATTTGCCTGGGAGTCGTTTGTGAATGGGCTGGCGGGAATGCGCACGCGCTCGAAAAATGCTCGGGCGACCCCACTCTAACCCCTTCCCCAACGTTGCTTCTTCTGCCGATGAGTGGTTCACCGGCGTTTTGCAACTCAAAAAGGCAACGCCCGCATGGGGCGTTCTGTACAAATTCTTGAGCGTGCGATTGCGGCGTGAATCGAAGGAAGCTGTCGCAAGCAACTGACAAAGCAGAATTACCGCTTCCCACGTATTCCTCGCGACCACCTCAAGAGCCCCTAAGATAAATGAACATCGCCAGCGGCGACAAAGCACTAGCTGAGAGGAAGTGCACGAACACCGCAGACGCGTGGGAGGCAAACAAGAGCCGAGAAGGAATCTGTTTGCTACTGCAGGACAGGGAGGGCCGCCTAAGACAAGACTGATCAAACGCCACGCGGGTGATTCATGGCGAGCGTCCTAGAAAGAAAATGCACGGGCTGTCACGCTGGCGGGCGGAGCACGCGCGGTCGCGCAGGGGAGGGGGTGTCAGGGAGGGGAAGGCCTGTGGTTTGCAGTCTTTGAAAAACGCATGCGCACGCTGTCACGCCAGCGGGCGGAGCACGTGCGATCGCACACGGGTGGCGGGGTCAGGAGGGGGAGGAGATCTCGGGCACGCAGTCCTGTAATGAACAGCAGGGGCTCTCACGCTGTCGCTTGCGACATCCAGCGCCGCCTCTGAGACAACACCCACGAATCGCCACAAAAGGTCCTGGGCCACCGCCACGACCGCCCACGGAACGAGACATGTGCTCTCGCGAGACCCAGGCTGCGAAACCACCCCTCGACTCCTCGCCGCGCCGACACGGCAGAGGAGGAGCCAGTCGCTCTGCGAGGCGAAGAAGAAAAACGCAGCATTGATCGCCAACGCGCCTCACTCATGGACGCTTGTCAAGGGTCCTCCTCTCCCCTTGATACCGTTCAGTCAGACGAGGACGGTCGGTGCCGTCAACGCAAAGGCCGCCTTGTTTAGCTCCGCAGCCTCCAAACGACGATCTGGCATGCACAATCTCCACCCACTGCTGGACTTCCGTCGGTCGGACGACCATACGATACTGGATGAAGGCGTGACCCCAGAGGGACCCGAGGTTCCAGAGTAGTATGCTCCGTTGACAATGAGGTAGTCTCTGTTGGACTCTGTGTTGAAGGCTTCCACGACAATCGGAGCTGCGTTCGCCTCGTCGATTCCGATCGTGCACATCTGGTTTCCACCGTAGTTGCTCGGATGGTTCGGGCTCTGCACACACGTGCCGTCCAGAGTGCACGGGCCCGAGATGGTCGCCCACATGTGCTGGGGCGTTGGCGCAGCGGTCGGCGGAGGAGCCGGCGCAGGTGTCGGCGCGAAAGTCGGCGCTGCCGTCGGCGCTGCTGTCGGTGCACCTGTCGGGGAAGCGGTCGGTGCAGCTGTTGGGGATATGGTCGGCGCAACAGTGGGTGCAGCTGTCGGTGCTGGCGGGGGGGCGGTCGGTGCCTCCGTTGGCGCAGATGTGGGCACTGCTGTTGGAGAAGCAGTGGGCGGTGCCGTTGGAGATGCGGTCGGCGCAGGAGTCGGTGCAACTGTCGGTGCGGCTGTGGGAGTTGCGGTTGGAGAGTCAGTCGGCGCTGCTGTTGGAGATGCGGTCGGCGCAGGAGTCGGTGCAACCGTCGGCGCGGGCGGGGGAGCGGTCGGCGCCCCCGTCGGTGCAGCTGTGGGAGCTGCGGTTGGAAAATCCGTCGGTGCTTCTGTTGGGGATGCGGTCGGCGCAGCAGTGGGCGCAACCGTCGGCGCTGCTGTCGGTGCAATTGTCGGAGAAGCAGTCGGCGCATCCGTCGGTGCAGTTGGTGCAGCTGTGGGTGCTGCAGTCGGCGAGTGCGTCGGTGCATCTGTTGGGGGCGCGATTGTCGGCGCAGTTGTCGGTGCGGGAGCTGGCGTCGGGGATGCTGAACCACAGCTGTCGATACTGCTGGTGCATATCTCGCCGTTTGTGCACAAAGCGCTGCCGCAATCGCACGGGTAGGTCGCGCTCGCCCCTGACCCGTCAAAGACGGAGCGCGGATTCGCTGGGAGGGCCAAGATCACCAGGTTGTCAGTGGGTATGGGGGTCGCGTCATTCGTGACACAACCAGTGCAGTTCGTGGCCTTCAGGAGGGCCCACCGTTGCGCAGCGGTCATGGACCCCGCCGCTGGGTACGCCTCGTACATTCTGGCAGCGAGCCCAGAGACGTGCGGGCAAGCCATGGACGTGCCTGTGTTGTAGTAGGTGTGGGTGTCGCTGGACGGGCCCGTCGAGAGGATTCTCGTGCCCGGGGCATACACATCGATGCAGGAGCCCCAATTGCTGTACGAAGACCTGTCCCATGAGGTCCCCAACGTCCCGCCAAAGGCTGCAACGGTGATCGCCGACGGAATCCAAGCTGGATTCCAGCTGCACGCGTCTTGGTTAGAGTTTCCTGCAGCCACCACCACGGTCACGCCATCGGCTACCAAATTGTCGATCGAGGTCTGCTCCGCCAGATCATTGTAGTTGGCCTGGATACTGATGCTGACAACCGCTGGCCTGTTCCCAGAAGACAGAATCCATTGCTCGGCTGAGATGGACCATGTGGTCCAGCCAGAGCCTGCATCATTCAGGACCTTCATTGCCCACAAGGTCGCGCCATTCGCGACGCCATACGTCGAAGCCCCCACCGTGCCCGCACAGTGGCTGCCGAACCCATGGACATCTGCAGCGCACGTTGTGCTAAGGGGCGCGCACTCTGTGAGAGTGCCAGGATACTCTTCCGAGGAGGCCACGTCCACTCCGGCGAACGCGCGGCCCCCGAACTCGTTATGGGTAATGCGAATGCCCGTGTCCAGCACGTACACATGTACTCCCGCGCCCCGACCCCCAAACCGCGTTCGCGCCGATGTACTGGATGCCCCATGGATAAGTCCGGGAGGCTCGCCCCTCCAAGTACACGTCTTCTGAATCGACGGTCTCCATGTCTGGGACCCTTTTCGAAAACTGGTCCTCTTGAACAAACCTCACTTGCCCCTTGTGCCTCGCCAACAGCGCATTGAGAGAGTTTCTGGTCATGCTTCCCACCACAAATGGCATCTGGCCTCTGCCGGGATGGCTGTGCTGCCCGTTGTTAAACTCCTGGCGAATGCCACCCAGCTCTTCATCTGTAGCATCGTACTCCAGCACAAGCGTCCAACGGCGCTCCGCCCCTACGTCGACATCAGAGGTGGTGTAGATGGGCACGTCAGACGTGGGATTCCGAGCATCTGACACTCCGAGCAGTGCCACGACCGTGCAAATGAGTGGTGCTGGGGCGGACGCCCATCTCGTCCGGCTGATAGCTCCCATGGTGCCTCCGTGACAAGTTTTCGGCGATCTGAGTGTGAACCCTCGGCGAAGCTCGCCCGAACAAAAACTGCCGTGTAAGATTAGAATCGACCCGACTGGCCTGAGCCGCAACTGAGACGGAGATCACTCCAGCGATCCCACAGGCTCGGGCAAGCCCCACCAGCCCCCTGGGCCCTGGCGCGTCCTCTGCCGACCCCATTCTTTCCCTTTAGGGTCGGACTTGCCCCTCGCCACGAACCCACGCCGGCAGACTTCCCCCCCCCCCACCCCCACCCCCCGCCCGCCTAGCGAGACCTCCCAGGAGCCCCTTGGGGGGGGGGGGGTTGGGGGGCCTCTCGGGGGCCCTGTCTTTTAGAGAGGGCCTCTGCGGGGCCCTCTGGGGAGCCTGTGGGGGGCCTCCTGGGGGCCTCTCGGAGATGTATTGGAGCCTCCTGGGGCCATCTTGCCGCCCATCCACGGTTGGTCCTCTTAGCCGCCCATCCACGGTTGGTCCTGTTGGCCTTTCTTGGGCCATATTGAAGCATCAAGAGCCCATCGGGAGCAAATAGGCGACAAGGCGCAGACTGGTTAGTTTCCTCAAGGTTTGGACCCTCTAGGGCCCGCTTGGGGCATCTTACGGCCATCCTGGAGGCTGTCATGTCTGGACTTGCCTCGTCTCGTCCTGTCTCGTCTTGACTCGTCTTGCCTTGCCTTGTCGTCGTGGCGACCTGACAGGTCAAGGCAGGGTCCATCCCACGCCGCCCCGAGGAATCCAGACAACTGGAGGGGGTCGCCCGCCTTGTGAGGGGAGGCCTACGTCGCACGACGTCCCCCCCCTAGCCTTGCCACGCGAAGAGGGTGTCTGAATGCCTTCCGGGATCAAATGATTGCCGATGTGAGGCATGCTGTCTCTTGAGGGGCCTTGCGGGGGGCCTCTCGAAGGCTTCGTGGAGGTCTCTTGGTCCCCGTGTGGCATCCAGGAGCCGTTTTGAGGCCGGGTGAGCACCGAGGACGTTGCGCACGGCTGGCCTATTCGAGGTTCGGAGTGGATTGGGGCCCTCCAGAACAGTGAGTTGCCGCACTGCGGAGGCGTAAGATGTGGTGCAAGCTAGGTGGTGTGAGCCATGTGTTTGTGGTGCGGTCAATGTGGTGCAATCTAGATGGTGAACGCTACGCGGTGCAAGCTCTGTGAGGCAAGCTATGCGGTGTAAGCCATGTGATGCAAGATATGGCTCGCAAGCTGCGCGATGTAATACACACGTGGTGCAAGCCACGTTATGTGAGCGATGCGGTGCAGGCCCGTTGGTGTAGCATGTGTGGCGTGAGCTGTGTGGTGCAACCTGCGTGGTGTACGATGCGTGGGGAAGGCTTCGGCAGAGGCTGTGTGGTGCAGGCCATCCGCCCAAACGCACGAAGCGCCCACCAGGCATCCACGGGCGGCCAGGGGCGAAACATTGGCACGGCCACTTGGTGCACGAGGCGCCCACAAGCGCGCCCACGAGGCCCCAGGCGGGCACCACGGCCACCAACGGGGCACTGAACTGGGCACCAGTCCCTGAGGGACACAAGTTAGCACCTTCCCTTTGGGGGGCGAATAGTTGAGAGCCCCCGGTGCAAGCACTGCCGGGGGAGTACTCGTGTTTTCGCATGCGCCGATCCTGGCCAGCAGCTTCCTGGGCCCCAGCAGCGGTGCATACACCCTCAAAGCGTGGTGCACCAGGTGGCGTAAAAATCGAACCTGGGGTCCACTCCGGCTGGCCTTGCACACCGGATCGATCCTTGACGGCCCCGAAGGCCCGAAACTGGCCCTCTTGAGGCGAAATCGAGCAGAAGCATCTGGCGCAATGTTTACCCACAGTCCAGATCACCCTCACGGGAAACCCGAAGTCGCGACTGGGTCCGGGACAAGGACACACACACACACACACACATACACACACACACACACACACACACACACACACACACACACACACACACACACACACACACACGCTTCCCCCCAGGCCGTCGGAGACTCTTCGAAAAAGGTATTGGGAGCGATTCGGGGCCCCCTGGAACTGCCTTGACGGCGGTCTGGGATCGATCAGGGGAATATGCCTGGGTTGTGGGCCAGAGGCCTCGTAGACGTATCTTGGGGTCTCTTAAGACGTCCCTCGGAGCCCGGTTGGGAGCGTCTTGGGGGTCTGCTGGAGCCTTCCTGGGTGCGTCCTGGGGTCCCTTGGGTGCTTCTTTGGGCCCTCTTTTGGACCTCCAGAGGGCCTCTTACCACCACGAGCAACTTCAGGCAGACATCCCCCCAGGCCGTCGGAGACTCTTCGAAACCGTCTTGGAGGCGATTCCGGGCCCTCTTGGGGCCGCCTTGACGGTGGTCTGGGATAGATCAGGGGAATATTGCTGGGTCGTAGGCCAGAGGCCTCATCAACGTATCTCGGGGTCTGTTTGGAAGTCTCTCGGAGCCCGGTTGGGGGCATCTTGGGGGTCTCCTGGAGCCTTCCCGGGTGCGCCCTGGGGTCTCTTGGGTGCTTCTTTGTGCCCTCTCTTGGGCCTCCCGTTGCCCCTTGGGCCTGTTGGGGGCCTGTTGGCGGCCTCGGGGGTCGTCTTTGGGCGAAGGACTCGAAATTGCAGCTCGGGTTGCCCCTAGTGGGCCATCTTGGGCCTCTCTTGGACCGTCTTCGGGGCTTTTTGGTCCGTCTTGGGGCCCTCTTGGGCCGTCCTGGGGCCCTCTAGGGCAGTCCTGGGGCGGTGTCGGAGAACGCTTGGGTTGTCTTGGACCGTGCTGAAGCCCACAGCGCACATACATGAACGTACTCCCAGAAAGAATTGGGAGGATGTGTTCGGGGCCCTCTTTGGGGTCCTCTTGGAGTGGTCTTGAGGCGTCGTGGACGCCTATTGGGCCGTTGGAAAGGCCTCTTGGGTCGTCAAAGGCCCCTGGAGGGCGCTGCGGGGGCGCCTCGGGGCCGCCCCTGGCCGCCGTGATGGCTGTTCCAGGGGCCTCCTGGGGGGAACGTCTTGGGGCCAGAGGCTTGACATATCCCTTCGGCCACCCCCTCTTGGGCCCCCTCTTGGGGCCGTCCTGGAGCAGTCATGGGCTGCCTCGGGGGCCTTCCTGGGGCCTTTTTGGGGCTCTCGTGGGCCGTCCTGGAGCCCTGCGGGGGGGGGGCCTCTTGGGCCGTCCTGGGGCGGCCTTGGAGGCCTCGCGGGCCGTCCTGGGGATGCTCTGAAAGCTCCAGAAGCAAAGTTTTGCCTTTTGAGGGCTGCGAGCCGCGCGACGGTCGGCCACCCTCGTGGGCTCCTGGGAGGCATGGCAGAAGTGAGGACAGCGCAGATCTATGTGAGACCCCGCAGTTCCCTCGGGGGCTGCGAGCTGCGCAGCTGTCGCGACTTTCGTGGGCTCCTGGGAGGCGCGGTGGAAGTGCAGGCCAATACGGATCCACGCGAGACCCCGCTGCACTCTTGAGGGCTGCGAGCTGCGCGACGGTCGGCCATTTTCGTGGGTTCCTGAAAGGCACGGCGGAGGCGAGGGCAGCGCAGGTCCATTTGAGACCCCACGATTCCCTCGGGGGCTGCGAGCTGCGCAGCTGTGGCCATCTCCGTGGGCTCCTGGGAGGCACGGCGGAGGTGCAAGGCAGCACGGATGCATGCGAGACCCCGCGTCCCAATCGGAGGCTGCGAACTGCGCAACTGTCGTTTTGTTTGCTAGAGGGGCTCGTGGGAAGCACGGCGGAGGTGCAAGGCAGTACGGACCCAGGCGATCTCGCGGCTCCCTCGGAGGGCTGCAAACTGCGCAACTGTCGTCACGGTAGTGGGCTCCTGGAAGGCACAGCGGAGTGGGCAATCATACCGATCCTGTTGCGACCTCGCTGCTCTGAGGGTGGGCTGCGAGCTGTGCTACAGTCACATGTTCGTGCGTGTCACGTCGCTGTCCCTTTTTTCACGATCGGGTATGCGCAGGTGTGCGACCCGCATGGCCCTAAAGTGTTTGGCGAATCATTTCAGAGTGCGGCATGTCTCGCAAAGTGTTATTTCGCGAAGTGGTTGGCAATCACTCGTGCGTGCTGCATGTCTCACAACGTGTTCTCTCGCGGGAAGTGGTTCATCTCGGGTAGTGGACCCTCTGCGATCTCTCCTCTCCCAAGCACGCCGAATAGCTACATCAGCCGAACAGTTGAAGATCCCAGAGACCGTAAAACAAGCTATGAATACAAGAGGGTGTGGATTATACCCGATTGTGCGAAGGTCATGTTGGCACAGCCTGTTGGCCTCTTGGAAAGGAAGAGGCGAGGAGGCAGGCGGAGGAGAAAGAGGGAGTGGGACTTGTTACGCGGGCAAGTGACCATGTCCCAAGACTTTTTCCCCGCAACCAAGTGCGCAACATGTCAACGGTTTTGCGTCCGCTTCTGCTTTCCGTTTGCCATCGTTGGACTCGCGTGTCAACTTATCACGTTCCTCCGTGCATTTCCTGCACAGCCTTTCCCTGGTTGCGTCGCGCTTCTTCTGCGCCTCCGACACCTCCGCACTCGCTTCGACCAGCGCCTGGCACTTGCCGTTCGAGCATCGCACAGCGCCGACGCTCTCGTTCCACTTCGCGTTTCTATGGCGCAAGCTACGGTGCGCTTTGACGCGCTTGCACTTCGTGCAATACGCGGCGCGAGTCTGTTTCTTCTCTCCCCGCCATGGCCGCGTCGATCTCTCGTTCTCCGCTTTCGTCGCCCACGTTCCGCTGTTCGGCCGCGCGGGGCGCGCGCCGTTACTGCCAACGACGGCGCGACCATGGGCCGAGCGCGCTTCGCACCCTGCGCTGGGCGCTTCCGATGCCCGCCCAGAAAACACAGGCGCCCGTCCGGTGGGAAAATGTGATAAAGCCCTCGCCCCCAGACTTGGGGCCAGCAGTCCTGCGCGCGAAAATCGAACGCAATTCGCCCTCGGCAGTTGAAGCAACACCTCATCGTGTTCATCTCCCGCGACCTCATCCTCGCGCGCCGCCCGCCCACGCGCGCACGCTGCGCGCCCCCGTGCCA